AGATGAGAACATCTTTCAATATTTGCATAAAACCTTGACACCAGTTCCAGTACCCATTAGTTTGGACCTGATTGACGAGAGAGGAGGCATTTTCATATGTCCCATATGTCAGTGCATATTAAGCAGGCCAGTAGTTCAAACTCCTTGTGAACATAATTTTTGTGCCACATGTCTCAGTGCTTATTTTAAGCACTGCAGGAGTGATGATGTCAAATGTCCACTATGCAATCGAGTAATTGGTTACGGACAAGTGACTAAAAGCCCCCATGTCCTGATTGTGCAGCTTGACAGTCAACTAGTTGTTTGTAACCACTGCCAACAAATTGGAAAGTTGGAGCAACTGTTGCATCACACATGTGACAAAATTGCAAGTCCCATTCCCAAAATCACAATTGTAAAAGCCCAACAATCTCCATCCGAGGAGCAAAAAACAGCAACAACCGACGCAGTCTCAGCAGCAAGAATTCTCAAAGAATTAGCAAACTGTCATCAACCTGGAGCCCCTATACCCCCATTTGTGGAAGATGTTGCTGACAGATGGACTTGGTTGAAGTTAAAACGCGACAAATACAGGACTGCAATTAAAACTGGTGGTCGGGTGAGTTTGTAAAGATATTTGTAAGCTCCTTAAAACTGCATATTTTTATTTACAACTATCCATGTAGCTCAACAAAGACATATAAATTTCAGTTACATGAATTTAATTAAGTGAACAAAATAAATACAAAGCTGTGCCACTTTACAAAATAATACAACTTTAGCCAACATGTTCTCAACACTTTAACTGAAAGTAGCCACATTTCTCTCTTTAAACAGCCTGCCTACATCCAAAAGGTCACATCCAAAAAGCCATGTGAATCCCCAGAAGCAGCCAAGCAGAAGCCCTTGACAGCTGAGACGTCACTCATCATGATGCGTGATTGTCATCTTGCATGGACCCAGCTGAGGAAATTGAAAAGGTTTATTGTAAATTACGAGAAAGAACAGGGGAGAAATGTAAAAGTAGTCCTATTACAGTAGAATTTATTCAATGGAGTTTGTAAAATATCATCTGACCACATGACAGACAACATGGATGCAGGATGTGTAGAAACTGAGACAAATTGTTTCGTAAAAAATTCCACAGGGTACTCTAGGGGGTGTGGCTAGCTCGTACATGGTGACAGGTCAATTTTGTCTAAGAGATGATTGCAGGATTGGTGATATTCTTCCCAACATGCATTTCAGATACCTGAATGCCCAGAACATCATCCCTTCTGAGAAATCACTCAGAAAACAACAGCAGTTTCTCCTGAAAGACTATCTCAGAGGGGAAATGACTGACCTTGTGTTCAACAGTGAGAAAGCTGATGGAGTGAATGGGCTTGAAACTCGAGCTGTTCCATTTGCATATGTGCATGACCTCAGCAAGATGGTACTGGATTACCTGGATCGTCATGATCGGTAAGAGAAAAATGACCATGTATATACATTTACAGTGTAATGGCATGTATCTTACTTCCTCGAATAATATTTCATGTACATTGTGTGATTACTTTTTATAGGAATGGTAATTTGACATGGCATCAAGGAGTTATACCCAAGGATGAGGTCTGGATAAAGATTGGAGGGGATAAGGGCGGATCATCTTTCAAAATGGCTTTTCAAATTGTCAATGTTGAGCATCCTAATTCCCTTCGGAACACAGTCGTATTCGCATGCTTTGAGGCTAAAGATTCCAGAGTAAATATCGAAAGGGTACTTCCACCTACTTTTGACCAGATTGCAAAGCTTGGATCTTTCAAGTGGCAGTAAGCATGATTTCCTTCTTACTTTCTCCTGTAATGTTAAAAGAGACAAAGTTCTATATTATATTTACAACAAAAAACACTTTTAACTGTATTTAGGTGAAGTCAACACATATAACTCAAAGTTAATATCTCCACTTTTTGGCAACTTGCAGGGAAAGGTCTATCCGAGTATTCTGCTTCGGCGATTATGAGCTGCTGACAAAGTTGTATGGCATATGTGGATGCAATGGTAAGTTGTGGAAAAATTTATTTCGAGAGCAAATGTGGGTTATCTGACTTACAAACACTGAAAACGCACAAAAAGACAAACTACTAACCCCATGACGAATTTCACCGAATCAGCCTTGCTTCTTTATCAGGGGCACGCACATCTTGACTAGGCACATGGATGCAGTGACAGCTGGTAACCTGTGTTATCAATTTTGTTAAAATTCTTAAATTTCATTTTACATGTATTTCCCTTCACATGTCAGCTCGCCACTGCTGTTTATACTGTACAGCAAGCAAATCTGTGATGCAGGAACCACTGTCAGAGAGGGGTCATTGCTCATCACGTACATTGCAAACCATTGAAGCAAACTATAACCACTTTCAGCAAGATGGAGGACTGCAGAAGAGAGCCAAAGAGGTTTCATTCAGCATTGCCCATCGCCCTCTTATGCCCATTGAAATTGATCATGTATGTTGTACAAATTCAGGTTAATTTGCTTGTTTAACCACCTTTTGAATGTTGTCAATACTAAATAGCAGATATTCATTTCTCATCGTTGTTCACCTCAAAAACTTGCTGAACTGAATATTAATATTCACCATTATTTCCTGAATCCAGGTAATTCTTCCCACATTACACATCTCCCTGGGGGTCTTCAAGAAGCTGTTCGATGAGTTCGAAAATGCTTGCCATGGTCTTGATGTGCAGTTGTTCCAACTACGAGTTGCTGCTGACGACACAGAGCGAAAGAACAATTTTGAGGACCACATACAATGTGAAATTGAACGACAGCACCAAATCTCGACATCCCTAAAAGAAAAACAAGCAGAGCTCAGCAGTGTGGAGGAGGAATTACCCCTACATGTCCTACGCAATCCCAACGAAGATATGGATGAGACATTCCTTCAAATTGCCCACAAAGCTTTCAAGCTCCGAGATGAAATAACAACCTTGGTAAATTCTATAGAACACCAATTAAAAGTTAAACATAAGAAAATCTTAATCTTTCACCGGAAGTGCTGAATCTATATGTAATCATGAAATGTACCTGTCACTGCTCAATTCTTACAGGAGAAGCAGTCGGAGACTTCCAAAATTCCTTTTGCTACGGGTTCAGTTGCCAGCTCTCTGGACAAAGTCCTCCAACAACACCATGTGCAACGACAGGCATATCATGGCAAATCATTTGTTGGCAACCATGTGCACAAATGCTGTGAGGTAAAAGCATAAAGAGCAAACTTGGTCATCAAACAACTAGGATAATTCTCCAGATGTATGGGCAGAAAATCTGCTACTTTATTTTGTTACAATTGTGTATTTGCTCTGTTCTGTATTTTTACAATCCTTACCTACATGAACGTGTACATTTACCGCTTTTCCCCTTCTTCCAGCCTCAAGTCATTAAAGCACTAACAGCAGTACCCCTGGAGGTTGTTGAAAAAAACCTAACTGATGACCTGCCCCTAGGAGCTCATGAGAGGCTTCGTCGTGAGGCTGCTCAAATCGGGATCAATTTTCAGGAGCTTCTCCTCAAATTTGCTGATGTGCACAAGGGTATAAATCACACCTCAGCATTGATGCAAGATCAAATTCAAATGATTGGTAAGTAAAAAAGTGACAACGCTTAACTCTCATCAGAGATTAACTGCATGATCTTCAACTGAGTTACTAACATGAAGTTTATGACTGAAAAGAATGATGGCCCTAGCAATATCTGAATCATTTCAACTGGCTCATGTTGTCAATGTCATTTTTTACTTTAACAGATGCGAGTATTCGTGATCTAATGAGCACATATCGTAGGTTGCTTCCAACACACAACATCACTCCAAAGCTCCACTTACTAGAAGACCATGCAACAGAGCAACTCAAGCGCTTCAAAGTTGGATTTGGTTTACTTAATGAACAAGGCGGGGAACTCATTCACACAGAATTCAATCGAACTGGGAGAGTTGTTCAGGGAATGCGTGGGGAGCTGCAAAAGCTGATGTCCATCATGCAAAGGCATCACATCGCAACAACTCCAGAAATATGCAGGAACATGTTCCCAGCTGAAATTAAAGAAAGGAAACAATAGTGTGATTGAGCCAATACAGCACAGGAGTCACAGATGGAACAAAATTTTGAAAAATGGTAGCCTTTGGTTTTTCTGTTCAGAGTTGCATGCTTTAGGGATTGATATAGTAATTAGTATTATCTATAGCCTAGTTATATATAGTCTTATATAGTATAGGCCTTATAGTTATATAAACTTCAAGTTAATGACTGAATTTACGATCAAGCCTTCGTCTTTAGGTGTATTATATATAGGCTTATAGACTGAGCCTAAAAAGGAAGTCGCCAGGATGAGCCAAAATCGTTTGAAAAAAATCAATAAAGTTAAGTTTCATTTTCAAATGATTTGTATTTGCTGTTTTTCCTCATATATGAAAGAGCCGTCAGACCGACAACAAATCTGTGCAGAAAGTGAAGGCACAGCGTACCTACAACTGTTTGATGTCTGTATTCCCATGGAATGAGCGATATGTCGGAAATAAAGTTAAATTGTTAACAGGGTTAAAAAAAAACCATGCAAAAACAGGCTCCGATGAACACTTGAGTCTTACTTACGTGCAGTCCTTTCTCGATATGTGTTTTCAGTCATCGGTGAACATGATGAACGTTGAATGCAACCAGCTCTTTCGCATCATTCGATGCAATGGCCCAGCGCCCAAACGCGCAATGTGTAACGTTCAACGTACGGGTAAACAACGCGGAAGCGGACGACCGCGTGGTCACACCTCCGAAATAATTATTCAATTTTGGGACAAAACCGACCTGTCCCGGACACACTGTCCATTTCATTGTAAAAAGTAATCATTACTCTAGTTCCCTAGCTATGTGCTGGAATCTAAAGCGCTGAAATCTATTATTATTGTGCAAATTTCAACTGACAAAATGAAGGAACGATCCGTGTGCGAGCGAAATTGACTGGTACCGCATCGTGTGATTAAATGACGGAATATCGTTGTGCACCTGGGAATTGCCCGCTCAGCTGTACAGAGGTGAATGTTTATACATATTCGAAACCTTTTGGGGTAACGTTTGCATATTCAGCTTATTATACCCAATAGAAGCGGGCGATTAACCCGGGGTATTTAAATCACAAAAAGCGTTCCAAGCAGACAGAGGCTTCCTCATGAATTATGCATCACAACGCGTCACATGATTTATCCATAACTGCGACAGCCCAATAGAGGGCGTACTTTTTTCTCGACGAAACGGCCGTGCCATCGGTCTATCATCTCTGAAGTATCAATTTTGGAACTGAATACAGACATTTATTTGTTGTAATACTGAGTCACTTGGGAGACATTCCCATAGGAACGTGCACAAACTTTACTGTTCCATAATCAAATATTCCCTAATCTGATCTGAACCAAACTTTGTATGTTTTCAATTTAGACCCTAATCTTTCATCTCAAAAATTGGACGGTACAATTCGGCCTCCTTCTGGTAATTGAAGAATTAGGGAGACATTGAAATGTCCCCCTAATGACCGATGTCTCCCTAAGGTTGAAAAATTTACCACAAAATGTGGTAATGTGGTAATGTCCCTAATGACCCATTTGTAAGAATACATGCATGACGTATGTTTCGTGTTTTTGCGCGCTCGCGCCTGATGACTGGTTCGGTCAGCACTAGTCTCTTCTCAAGCGCTAATTAGCACCACCAGAGCGAAAAACCGCAGGCTACGGTGTAAATAAAAATATGCCGACGGACTCAGCGCG